TATATATATATATATATACACACACATTATATAATATGGTGATTTTAGTTAGCTTAGTTTTGGCTTGTGTTTTGCTGTTTTGTTTGTTTTAATGTTAACGCCTCAGTTTTATCCTCTCCTCCAAATGTCTGAAGTCATTTAGCACTCGGCATTCTCACAGAAAATACCTTTTTTTCTTGTTATACTAAAAGTTACACCTAGTAATATTACGAATGGCTCCTGGAATAGCTTGAGCAGTGTAATGGATGCTTCTGTCCAGAGTGTTATATGAGTGTGCACGCTGCGCATGTGTTGGTGCAGGCAGTCCCCGAGGTAATCAAGCCTTTAGTCTAGAATCGGAACATAAGACTGCACTCTCCTGAACAAAATGTTGACAGACTCAAAGTAGATTTAGCTTCAGTAAAGCAGTGAGAAACAATCGTCAAACTACTAAAAGATGTATTTCTGTCAGGACAGGAGGATCCACTCACATGGTCTGTTCCAGGTTTTAGTTCAGGATGAACGTTTCTCAGTCCAGCAGGTTGTGGAGACTGTAGAAACATCCTAAACTCTGAATAATTAAAAACCATTCCCAGAAGGAATGCATATCACCCGCTGCCTTTTATGGCAGATGGAAAATGGAGCCACGTCCATTTTGGATCAACCTGGAAAATCATGTTATGCACAATTTCATGAAAATTTGCATCTGTCTACTGGTTCATGAGATATTTTGCTAACAGGCATCAGTGTTGACTTCAGTAATCAATAATTAATACCGAAGGCAAATGTCAATGAAGGTGAGCAGTAGATTTTCTCCGTTCAAACATGAAGTGGTCAGCAGTTTCCTTCAAACAATATCAGACGAGTTGAACAGGTGTTGATCAGAATCCTGAGCTCGTGTGAATTTGGACATCGTCTTCTTTCTTTGAAGTGTCCAAGTGTCCATCCATCATTCACATGTCCATTCAAAGTGGACACCAAAGCCTCTGTTCTTACACTATCGCTCACTGCCATGTCTGTGTGTTTGTTGGTCAGTTGTGTTAGCAGAATATCTCATGGGCCAGGGAAGAGATTTGAATGAATCTTGCACAGTTCAAAACAAAATGCGTCGCTGGTGTGGCTCTACATGTGGTTGACTTTTGGAGTCAGAGTAAGATGGCTGTCACAGCTAACTGATAAAGGACTGTACCTCAGTCAAATATACAGAAATGAGCTAATGTTCAGTGTGATAGCAGCCGAGACTTTTACAGTACGAGTGACATCGCAGCATTGTATGACGACGCACGCAAAGATTTTGAAGGTTTGATCAAAATGGCTACAGTTCATCAACAACACGGTAGCAGGTGATTTTCAAATGGAGCCAGTTCAGGGCCTCTACTGCAGATGCATTTCCAAGAGCTGTGGCCCAGAACCTTTGGTGCCACTTCAACCTTCAATGTTGCATGTGTGTCTGTCTATGTCTCTTTCCTGTCCTCTATAACACCAGCTTTTAGACCTGGTTGGCTGCCCATCCTGGTTCTGGTTCTGCAGGAGGTTTTTTTCCAGTTAAAAGGAGTTGTGTCTTTTCACTGTCACCAGTGTGCCGCTCAGGATGAAGTGTGGGATGAAGTAAAGATGTGACACAATCTGCTGGCTTCCTTATCTAGATAATTGACATTTTATCCCTTTTCATTTTTATGCAGATGACTGTCGAGTATACTTTTCCCTGAAGCACGCTGGTGGAGCTCGGTCCAGCCTCTCCTCGACATCAGGAGTTGGATTGAATTTAGTTTTCTGAATTCAAATGAGAAAAAGACCAGTTCTGTTGTTTACATCTAGCAGCTTTGCATCAAAACCCTGCAGTGACATTTTACTTAAAAAGTGACATTTTCAGGACACAATAACAAACACGCTCACAAACGTCGGATCAATCATACAAAACTTTGACCATACTCCTGTGAGAATAAATTTGGTCCATGCCGTGTGTCGAGAGGGAGTGGACGAAGCTACTCTCAGAATAAAATGGTGTGATTTTCATCATGCAACTACTTGAATAATAGCCAATTTTGCAGATTTGATTTAGGTATTCATTGCACTTTATTGAGGAAAGGAATGTCTGGGTTTCCCGCCTGGACCTTCTGCCTCTGCAACCAGATCATGGATAAGTGATGAATGGATGGTTGAATGAATGGACAGATAGGTGATATAACAAAAAACTGGAACTACACCAGTACTAAATCAGCCTTTCTTTGATTTCAATTTTGAATGTTTGTTTCTACAGTGAATATTGTAGTGCATATCTAAATTGATTTTTAAATAAAAAATGTGAAATAACATTTGTGTATTTTCTCTCTGGTTTGTTTAGGTGGTGTGTGGAGAAAAGCACAGCCCAGTGCTGGATCCCAGTGGGACTGTTAGTGTGGTAAGGACCCTTGAGACGAATAAGGGTGCATGGAGGGTTCAAGGACTGTAAAACCGGGGCTGCCACCTGGCCTTTGGTTGGGCCTGTTCATTGTGGCTGCAGCTTTCCTTTGCTCTGAGGCCCGGACTACTCCAAGCCCACTGCTCATCTCCAACAATGGCACTTGCAAGGGGACCTCAAAGTGTCAAGCAGGGATCATCCTTCCCATCTGGTATCCTGAGGATCCTTCGATGGGGGACAAAATTGCTCGAGTCATTGTTTATTTTGTAGCTTTGATCTACATGTTTCTTGGTGTGTCCATTATTGCTGACCGCTTCATGGCAGCCATTGAGGTCATTACCTCTCAGGAAAGAGAAATTGTCATCAAAAGGCCCAACGGGGAAACGACTACAACAACAATTCGGGTATGGAACGAAACAGTTTCCAACCTTACACTTATGGCCTTGGGCTCATCTGCCCCTGAGATTCTGCTCTCTGTTATTGAGGTCTGTGGACATGAGTTTAAATCTGGTGAACTTGGACCCTCTACAATTGTTGGGAGTGCAGCCTTCAACATGTTTGTCATCATTGGCATTTGTGTGTCTGTAATACCCCAAGGTGAAGTGCGCAAAGTCAAGCATCTCAGAGTGTTCTTCATCACTGCAGGGTGGAGTATTTTTGCTTACATCTGGCTTTACATGATTCTGGCTGTGTTTTCTCCCAATGTGGTGCAAGTCTGGGAAGGCCTAGTCACACTATCCTTCTTCCCCATATGTGTACTTCTGGCCTGGGTAGCAGACAGACGGCTACTCTTCTACAAGTTTATGCACAAGAAGTACCGTACTGACAAACACAGGGGCATCATTATTGAGACAGAGACAGAACGCTCCAAGGGTATCGAGATGGATGGCAAGATGGTCAACTCTCACTTCATGGATGGAGGCACTGCCAGCAATCTGATTGGTTTAATTGAGAGCAAAGAAGTAGACGAGTCTCGTCGAGATATGATTCGAATCCTAAAAGACCTAAAGCAGAAGCACCCAGAGAAAGAGTTGGATCAGCTGGTTGAGATGGCCAACTACTACGCCCTCTCACACCAGCAAAAGAGTCGTGCCTTCTACCGTATCCAGGCTACACGCATGATGACTGGCGCTGGAAATATTCTAAAGAAACACGTTGCGGAACAGGCTAAGAAGAGCGCCAGTGTGCAAGAGGTGCGTGTAGATGAACCAGAAGAATTTGTGTCTCGGATTGCGTTTGAGCCTGCTGTTTATCAGTGCCTGGAGAACTGTGGCGCTGTCATTCTGACCATTACCAGAAAGGGTGGTGACATCAACAAGACAATCTATGTGGATTACAAAACTGAAGACGGTTCGGCTAATGCTGGAGCAGACTATGAGTTCACAGAGGGCACAGTAGTGTTCAAACCAGGAGAGATCATCAAAGAAATGAGCATTGGCATCATAGATGATGACATATTTGAAGAGGACGAACACTTCTTTGTGCGTCTTAGTAATCTGCGTGTCCTAGAGACTGAGGATGAGGTACTGTCCCCTAATAGTCTCCCATACCCAAAGGCAATGTTAGGATTCCCCATTGTGGCCACAGTAACTATTCTAGATGATGATCATTCAGGCATCTTCACTTTTGAGAGCAGTTCAGTCCATGTGAGTGAGAGCATCGGTATTATGGAGGTGAAAGTATTGAGGACTTCTGGAGCCAGGGGGACTGTTATTGTGCCTTACCGCACCGTGGAGGGCCTTGCCAAAGGAGGAGGGGAGGACTTTGAAGACACCTATGGAGAACTTGAGTTCAAAAATGATGAGACCTGGTAAGACGTTTCCTCTTATTTATTTAGCACTTGACCTTTATCAGTGTATGACTGTGATTATGTTGCTGATCAGTGGTCATTGTTTAATCCATAACATTTATTTACTGTTTCAAACAGAATGAATGCAGAAATAAGGGATTTCTATTTGAGTCTAGTTTCTGCATTGAGTTTCGTTTTGACTTTGAATTGACGTTTGATGGGTTTAAAATTGCCAAATATGTATTTGCAGTTGTACATATCGGCTTCAGACCCCCCCTATCATTCTGTCAGAAACTTGTCTCGTTCATGTATCATTGAGTTTTGATGTAAAGATGTGGTCTTCTTTCTTCACTGATGTCCTTTAATGTAGAGCAAGCACTCATTTTCAGTGAACTTTGAGTGCTCCTTTTCCTCACACCGACGGCATACAAGTGAGCATGTTGCTAGTTACCCACTTGTTTTCCTGCCAAGAGATTTTTCTGTCATCAGAACGCTTTGATGGCAATCGTGTGTGTCTTACATGAAAATAAATTCAACTGTCACACAAACAGGGGAGCAGGAAGGCCTCCAGGAACCCTTTTTACTCTTCCATTACTTTCTGTTATTTCAATCCTCAGAGTTTTAATCATTTTCTTTTTAATTGCCTGTGTCCTCTTTGCTTCAGCTTACAAAAAGCCGAAGGAATGGAAGCAAGCTTAGTTTAAAGAAAGAAATTTCACAGGTCAGAGGTCTGAACTGGATTTATTAATCCGTGTTAGTAAGTGGAGGATGTTATGTATGATGAGAAGGGTTGATTTGTGAATGTAAAGTTTGTATTTTGGGGAGGAGCTTTAGTAAGTACAAGTGATGTTTTATGTAAACCATGTATGTTCTGTAGCCTCGCCAGCTGTATCATCTGTGGACACGACTGGACTACAACAAACAGACAGGAAGGGCAACTCAGTGGGCACATTTGGCATGGTTGCAATGATAGTAACACGCTGTGCTGTGGTACAGAGAGGGATTGAGTGACTGGGTCCTATTTGTTTCATGTTTCTAAAACATTTCTGTTAAATTCTGGCATCAACACAAAGAGCAGCCCTCCAGAAATTTTATTTTGTTTCCCAGCTTGCATCCACTCATGTCTTTCTTTGGTCTACAGCCTCTGAACCATAGTGGCTTTTCTACCAATTGACCACCTCTAAGTTTGCTGTTATAGACTGACAGGGTTTGTTCTCAGGGAGGGGGCTAAAACTGCCCAGGAGACCCATGGCAGGAGAAGTGTTAGCTGATCGGTTGACTCCTGGGTTCTGCTCCATGTGGAGTACTGTAGGTAGGAGGAGTGTTGGATGATCGTGGACTCTTGGGTTCTGCTGGACCCTCCATGTAGAAGACTGTGAGAGATGCTGTTTTGGGGCTGGGCCTGAATGCTGCTGAGGGGCTGAGCTGTGAAGAGAGGTTCTTGTGTTGTTGTGGTCTTCTTGGCATTGCAGGAGAAAGATGACTGACCTGCTCGGTGTGCGCTGCAGGTTAGCACACTCTGCAAACTGATCAAATTTAGTCACCACGTTTTAACTTGTAAAAGAAATTCCAGAACATGTCAGTAAATTGGCCCAGTCTCATGTTCAGAATGTACCCACAGCTATTTTAGTGTTAATTATCCTCTTTAACATCACCTAAAGCTAATTAATGTCTCTTTAGCATTACGTAAGAGAACAATGAGAGTTAAGGTGCAGACGATAATGAAAGACTGGTTTAGATTGATTAAAAAGTTCACCCTGTTGCTGAAGTGCAGCAGGGACTGGGTTCTCCAGACGTTCCTCTGTGGAGAACATCACCATATGAGCTCGCATGCTAGTTAACAAGTCGCTCTGCTCATTAGCTGCGCTCTCAATATGAAAAAGAGTTTCCCTCTATTGACTGACGTCTTCCAGCTGTTCTTCCACTTCCCGGTATCATTGACTTGGGTTTGGAGGAAACTGAAGCTCGTAGGGTTCATTGATGCCTCGCATCGCAATATCGAAGCATTCAGGACCTCAAACCCTTCAAACAATGAAAAGGGCTCAGATGCACGAACAGGCTTATGTAATAATATTCAAATCTATTAAGACATCTGGATCAGTTGGAGAACGTCACCCTGTTCGTACTTGGTTCTGAAGAGTCTCTGGAAATGTTCATAATTACACTTAGGAAGGGATGAAATACATTTAATCTGCAAAGAGGAGAAAAGAAAGAAACAACTTCCTGCATATAAGCATCAAGGAACTGAATGGGAACAAACAAACGGCCTGAATGTGTAGAAAGTTCCCTGAAGCCGTATTTAAAATGTTATTTCTCTTGCTGCCCTGAAGGCTGTTCAAACATGCAGCATACAGAAACTATCTGCCTGCACTGATCAGGAGGAGATGCTGTGTCCTCTCTGGTGCAGGGTTAGAACTGATCTTCACATGAAGTCGTTGTTGGGACTAAACGGAGCCAGGCTGCTCCTCACGGAAAGGTTTTGGTGCCTTTTAGAACCATTAGAACATGAAAACCTCATGTGCTGCTTATCTTGTTTTAGTTGACCATCCCACTCTCTGCGTTGTTTTAATTATCAGCCCGATGGCTCTTTACTTACTGTTTGCATTTAGAGCTCTGGTTTACATCAGCTCATCCAGAATAGGACTCTCTCCATTAGGTGGTTTATTTTCTGAGCACTAAACTGCTTTGATTTTTCTTCTTTATGGGTGGTGAAAGACAAAAAGACCAGAGGTTGCTTTGCACTGCTTTAAATCCCTGACCTTTAACGTTATGGCTAATTAAAGGAAGAAAATGCTCCCGTTTACGTTCATTTCTTTGGCACGTGTTTGGGTACAAAGTGACCAGGCAGGCCAAGCCTGCTGAGCTTTCTCACCCTGAGCCTTGGCTGCATCTTCATTCTTGTCACTTTAAATAAAATAATGTCTGGAAGCAGACGCAGGTTACCAAGTGTTAGAAAGTGCAGAACCTGATGGTTGCTTATCAGACTGTGTTTTGGACCATAAATATAAAAGTTCAGTTTGCATTTACATCACTATCTGTAGATTTATAAAACAAAACAAAAAGGCTCCAGTTTGATGATTTAACGCTGAGATTCGTGCACACCAGTACCCGTGATACAGTTTATTCAGTGCTCACCATGAACACATCTTCAATCATTCTGATTAATAGTAGTCATAGTCTGAATGTTTATGAAACATTCACTGTATTGTGATACATTTTTCTTCCGACGTTTTTCAGCACAGTTCTCGTCCCGCAATTTTCAATCTATTTCAACAAATCATAAATTAAAACGTTCAGCTCTTTCAGGACTATCCTGCTACAATATCCTGATGCATGCTCAATAATCCAGGTAGAAAAATCCAAAAAAGTTCAATCTGGTCCTCTGGATGTTCAAAAAAACAAAAAACAAAACAAAGCAAAAAAAATGTAGAAACATTTCGTCTCTCATCCGAGAGACTTCCTCAGTCTGAGGTGCTGTATTCAGCTCAGTCTCTTAAATAGCACCTTCTCAGAGTGGATCAACCAGCTGCTCACATGATCAAGAAGGACCATCAGCCTAACAATGGATCATTAGCACCTGATGGCTGTTTACTATTCACAGGGGGCTAAGTGATACTAGCAATAACAGCATTGTAAGAGGGGGACAGTTGAACCCGGAGGCCTCCACCCCTGTTTAATGATGGACGATTTCTTTTCACAAAGATGGCCTCCTTTACTCCTCTCTCAAACCATCGTTCCTCTCTGTCCAGGATGTGAACATCTTCATCCCTCATTCTACACTCATCTCCAGGCCAGCGGTCACTCTTTCAGGGATGAAGATGTTCACATCTTGATCTTCTTCATCTTCATTAGTTAAACGCTGAGCTGAAGTCACCAAACAGCATTCTGATGAAGGTACGTGGTTCTGCTGGTGGCTGAGAGTGGTGTGAAGAGCCATGGAGATGGCATCATCTGGAGCTCTGTTGGGAACCTGCTGTTGGTCATCTTGGCCTCGACGTGCTGCAGCACCAGTCCCATAGGTTTCATGATGGCCGGAGTCATGGTCCAACCTGTGACGATAGACATGTTGGGGACAGTGGTGGCAGTTTTCAGGCAGGTGGGGACTGCAGTTTCCTGCAACGAGCGGTTGAAAATGTCAGCAAATACTGCTGCAAGCTGCTGAGTGCATGATTTCAGTACCCGCCCTGGTACTCCCTCTGGTCCTGGTCCTCTGTTAGTGCTGATGTCAAGCAGGACCCCAAGACCTGGTGTTGGAGGGTGTCAGCCATGTGTCCTCTGCCTGACTGTAGCTGGTCCAGGAGAGGTGTCGTTGGGTGAGGGGGTGTTGTTTGTGATGTTCTGAATGCCTTGCCATATTGACTTCAGGTTCACTGAAGTTTATCGCTATCTGCTCCATCAGAGGTGTTGGTGTGGACCTGGTACAATGTTCGGCTCCTCCTCGTTTTGACATCCACATGATTAAAACATCTGGGGATCACAGTGAAGCACAAGATGATTTAACTGTGCTCGGAATGAGCTGCACAAATGTTTCCTGCTATATGTCCCTCCTGCTCTGTCTCGGTCTCTAAAATGTGTCTTTAGGCATGTGGAGAATGTGTAATGGTAACCGCTCCTGGAATCATGACTGACACGGCACATGTTACTGCTGATCCTCACCATGCTGATTGCTCAGCTGTTCTCCACAAGCACTTTCCCTTATATACCGGGCTGGAGGCACGTGGTTACCTTACCGCCTACATCAGGGCAGGATCATCTCCAGCTCAGCTTCCATATTCAGCCTTCTGCTGCCGTGTTCTCCATGATGCCCCACTCTGCCTGTCAGGCTTTCAGTATGAACGCTGGACTGCAGACTCGACACGGGGGGCTCGAAGGTAAACTGAAACTTTGAGACGAACAGCAAAAGCTAACGTGGCAGCAGAACTCACAGCTGCTGAGGGCAAAGCAGGAGTAGAACATATAAGGAGAGGCCCTGGATCAGACATGGGATCAGGTTCTACCCAGTCCTGGATCAGACCTGCTCT